TACTATAAGGTGAGTGAACTCTAAAATCATTATACTAAGTGAATGAAAAGTCACAAAAGACTGCATATCATACAATTCCATAAATATGAAATGTCCAGTATAACTATACAAGAAGAATGAGTCTAAAAATATATAAAACTTCTATAATAAAGCCAATAGATGGTGTGGTGGTTGAGGTGGTGGACTCCCACATGGCTGACTGTGGTTCAAGTCCCAGACCTGGCAGCTTGCTTTCTCACTTTCTCTCTCTCAGGAATTAATAATAACAATAATAAAATTAAATAAATAATTCTTTTAAAAACACTTCTATAATGAAAAAATATGAAGTAGTATGGGGAAAAATTAAAGAAGTCTTATATAAATAGAAAGATATGACTTCTTTCATAGATTAGAAGATTATCATTAAGATACCAATTCTCGGGGACCAGCAGTTAGTGTAATGGCTATGTCGCTGGACTCCCACGTAGTCGACCGCGATCCGTGTCCCGGATCCAGTGGCTTAAAACTCACGCCAGGCACATGTGCGTATGTGCCCAAGATCCTGAGAGGAGAATGGAGGAGAAGGGATTGCAGAGTGACCATCCCCCCTGGGGGGTGATTTCTCGCTTTCTGTCTCTATGTCTCTCTCTGTCTGGCGAGCACACGCGCCCTATGGTGAAAACCTCTCCAAAAAAAAAAAAAAAGATACCAATTCTCTCTAAATTCACCTACACATTCTATGTAGTCCTAAGTTAAAACCCCAGGAGTTTAGGAGTTGTTTATAGAACAAATTGACGTGCTCATTTTAAAAAGTATGTAAGTAAATAAAACAAAGAAAATAAGGAACAGAGATTAATGAAATAGAAAATAAAGATGCAATGGAGAGAACTGAAACGATTCATGAATAATCAAGAATAATCAAGGAGATAACTCTTACAAACTTAGTATCTACTTTATGGAAAAGAATGTCAATGAAGAAAATGGTATTATGAGAAAATCGGTATGGTTTTTTGAGTTCTCAAACATTTGTGATTATGTGAAGCGCCAACAGAGAGGCATCTCTCTAGTGTGTGGTATTTTAGAAGCCACAAGGCACATTATCTCATTTAATCTTCATACAATCTGCAAGGTGTGGCCATCATCTCCTTTATAAGACCAGCTCACTCACAAAGGTGAAGTGTTGCCCAAGGCTGTACAGGTTGACAGCAGCAATGTGACAACATAACCTTTGCATCACAAGCATGACCTGGCAGAGACTCAGAGGAAAGCAAAACCTGGCCTGGTCTCACTGTCCTGGGTCACAGGATCATTCTGGGCTCCAGGTGGGTGAGGTGATCTCTGCAAGCCAAGAAGATGGTCTCTGCCATCCTGGCAGGGATAAACATCTCCACAACCATCATTCTGTCCTGCTTGGCTGCAAAGAACATTGCTAAGGACATGACTGTCCATGGAGTTATCTCTTACTCCTTGCAGAAGGAAGTGATTACCAAATTTACTCTTTGGCCCCATCAGCCACCCCAAGGGAGCGCTGCATCCTGTACCCACTCAGGAAGTCATCCAGGGGCTACTGAGGGTGAAATGAAGCAATGGACAAAATGACTTTATGGGCTTTTATTTTATTTTTATTTTCTCTGTTCCCCCAATTTCCAACCACCAGGCTGTGGGGGTCAGAAGTAAAAGCAGCTGCTGACCAGACCATGCAGACCAGCTGTAAAGAGGAAGATGGGAAAGAAAGGAAGGAGAGAAGCAGAGGCAGAGGAGTGCACCAGAGTTAATGATTACAAGATCCTCAAAAATCTGGAAAACACAGAAACAACTCCCATGCTTCTACTTCCTCTTCTGTACTTAGATTCCCACTTCCCAAACAGGAACAGATTGGGAAGAATGGCTGTGGGCTTCTGGAGAAACCAGAGTGCAGGAGAAACAACAAGTACAAAATTTGAAGAAGATGCCCACCAGTAAAATCTCCTGCCTAAAGGGGATGAAAATATTCCAATCAGAGACAAATGCAAAACATGGAAGGTACCATGTACATCCATGAACTGCTAGAGCAAAATCATTACTCTAGTCCTTCCCTTTCTCTGAAAGTGGATGAAATCAGACCTTTAATACCAGAGAAACTCGGTGTGAAGGCAGCTATCAGGCATCCTCCCAACAGTTATGTTCTCTTTTCTACCATATTCTTGCTAACTAAACCAGGAAACCTTTCTGGCATGGGTATAATCTAAATGGGGCCATTGACCTGGGTGTCAATGTGCCAGGGCTTCTGGGCAAAGATCTTCTCCTTTGTCTAAGGGCACATTTGAGAAGAAATACCCCTTTGCCTTTGAAGACAATGGGAAGAGAAAGGATGTGACGGATGTCACAAGCACACCGTGTGTATGTGCGTGCGCACGCGCATGTGTGTGCACACAGGCGTACATGACAGCTGTCTTGACACAATGAGGGAATGAAGCTGAGCAAAAAGAGAGAGAGCACCTGCATATTTAGTGATGGTCATACTTAGTGATTATGTAGGACAAGAAACATTCTTATTGCTAAAATCACTATTAGGTATTTCGTTGCTTTTAGGCAAAAGCATCCTAAATTATTCACATAGCAATGGGTAAGCTGATGCCAGAAGGGGGATGTCTAAATAGAAAACTCTATGGCTAGAAATCAGAAATGGAACTACTGCACCTCTACCAAACTAATAGAGACTGATTAAAAAAAGACACATGAAATGAATATTTTGAAATGATTAATGATCTTCATTTATGTAAATCTCTTTAAATTTATCACATGAAATTCATAAAGTAAATTTTATAATACAAGTTATGAATACCAACACTAAAAGGCAGTTAATTGGACAATAAAGTCTACTAGGAAAAAAAAAAAGAAAATAGAATAATGTAGCTTTGGTCTTTCACTCTCTTTTTAAAATAAATGGTCTACTACTCTTCTGTACAGAGAATGTTAACATTTAAGTGATATAGAGTGATATTTCAGACTAAATTTTTTTTTTTTTTAAATTTAGGGCACATGCGCTCACCAGAGACAGTGAGAGGGAAAGTAAGAAATAGCCCCTCAGGGGGGATAGACATGCTGCAATCCCTTCTCCACTCTCCTCCTGGGATTATGAGCATGCGCACACACATGCCTGGCATGATTTTCAAGGCTTCAGGTCCAGGACTAGAACCATCGCTGGCCACTTGGGAGTCCAGCACTTTAACAAACAAGCTACCTGCCGGCCCCTCAGTCTAAATTTTAACGACAAAATAAAATCTAAGCAGGCCAAACACACTCTCCCTCTCTCTGATTCCAGTGAGTGAATACACCCTATAGCAAGTTAAAAAAAAAAAAAAGTTAATATTAGACCTCTAATAGCAACTCTTACTGAGACAGCATTTATCATGGAATTGCTGTAAATGAGTAGAAAATTAATATCTATGAGATAGTGAATATAAGCAAAAGTATAACTTGGATCAAAATAAAACTTGAAGCAAAAGTTATTTCTGTTCTGTCTGAATAAAATATATACACACATGAAAGAAATTTCAATATTGCAACATATTTTCCTTGCTGAAAGTCAGACTGTGTTTATAACAACATTGTTGCTATGGAAACAGTTGATTCAATATTATGAACTCACGGCTGAATAAAGTAAGGTGTGGAACAGAGTCTCATTTAAACAGTGGCAAAACCCATAAAACATTCAAAAGGCAAACTGAATGATGGTGAATCAGAGAGCACCATATGTTTTAATAGAAGGCCATACATTTTTTTTCCTTCCCTCTGATGCCTGACACAAATAGGATGTTTCTTTTTAGCTAAGTCCTATTTTTGGAACCTTATAATCATCTCAACTACTCCCCCATATGTCCTGAGTTTTGCGATCTGCTTCTGTCTACGTAAGGCAGTCTGTATTTTATTAAGTTGATCATGGTTAGAGTAGAGTCACTGTAGTACGGTTCTTGTTAGAACATGTAGAAGTCGCGGCACCAACTGCGGAAAGTTGGGACTGTAGAAACCTCTGTGTGATTCTGTTAAATACAGCAGTACTGCCTTACTCGCCATAGAGCAAAACATTAGGTGTCTAGTCTACCTGTCTATAGCTTTATATATTCAAATACAGTCATCGGAACACGTGAATGAGAACCAGAGCAACTTCGAACCAGCAGCCCGGCGCCTTACTGTCATTACCTCATATGCGTTCCTTGCCTTTCTTAGGTCAGTTAAGAGTTTCTCAGTAATCCTGAAAACTCTGCAGACAACTTGAATGGCAGTTTGTGATATGATACTATGCTCCTCCCAAACTCCCCCTTCCGGCTTTTAACTTGGAGACAGACACACTTTTCTTTAAACAAACACATTCTGCCATTCTTTCCTCTTGTTTTCTGAACCTTTCAAATTATGACAAACATTTTTAAGCCAGAAATTTTACCCTTTATAATATATTTAACGAGTTTTAAAAATGCAGGTAATGCGTGGGACCATTAAACAAATCCACCTTTCCCCCGCAGGAGATGGTAACAGTGAAGAAGCTCTGTAAATAGAAACCTAGATTCCCTCTGCAGCAGGAGCTGCCCAGGGTGTGGCCGACCTCCGAGCCTACACAGGAGATCAATTCATACCAGCAAAACCGGAAAAATCACAGCTGAAAGCCACTGTGGAAGCAGTAAGAGCCAAGAGTGCAACGTAAAGGAGTTGGGGTTTCTCTGAGGTGAGTCACAGGAAGTACTCCTGCCATTCTGGAAGCCTGGCTCACCCACCTCCTTTGGTTATAAACGCAGGTCAAAGCTTCCTGGGCTTGGTGCTTAGGGACCTAGAGAGCTGGGAGGACAGGCCAACTGTAGGCCTTTTGCTTAGCCTTGGGCGCCAGCCCTGGCCTGCCCTCCAACTACACCTCAGTTTCCACAGACAATGGTGAAATCAAACTACCACATGGAATACAAGCTCTTCTTTCTACTTTGCATTTGGGCCACTGCATGTGTTCTTTTCAGGGTTCACAGAATGACAAACTGGGTTTACAGTCAACTTACCCAGCTCAGTTGACACGGGAGACCCGGTAGCAATCTCACCAATCTTGGCTACACCATCATAGTAGGCTTTTCCTGCCAGGATCATAGCTAGACAAGAAAAGTGACACAGACAGAGATCACTTAGATGAGGAAAGGCAAAAGCAACACAGAAGTTTTCTTTCAAACATTTTTCAGTCTCTTCTGGCTGCAAAAAGGCCTGGGCCAGCACCAACTGTCAGGCTCTCGGAAGGCAGGGCTTGTGCTTGGGTAACTGGCAGGATAGAGGTTCTCCACCTAGAGGAGAGCCCAAGGATACCTTGCCTTAGCCTAGACCATTCAGCAGCAGTTGCTAAAGTCCAGAGAAGACGCTACCTGTCCTTAATGCCTGCTCCAGAGTCAATACGTTCCTGACATCAAACTGTGACTAGAAGACAGCCCACAGCCCCTCCAGTGGAACCTCCTTTTTAAGCTTGTTATTCTACTGTACTGCGGGCCTGCAACATTATTAGTTAGAGGGACTTATACAGGGTGTCCTAGGAACATGGCCCTTCAATGGCATGGTTACTCTTTTTTTAAAAAATGATATTCTGAATCACATACCACCATTGTATTTGTTGCCAGGAAAAACAAAAAACAAAAAACAAAACTGACATTTGATGGGACCAGTAGTTGCATAATGGCAATGTTGCTGGACTCCCATGTAGTTGATCATGGTTCGAGTCCCAGACCCGGTGGCTTAAACTTACACCGGGCACGTGTGCGGGAGTGCCCAAGATCCCAAGGGGAGAATGGAAGAAAAGGAATTGCAGCGTTGCCATCCCCCCTCGGGGGTGATTTCTTGCTTTCTGTCTATCTGTCTTTCTGGTGAACACATGCACCCTACAGCAAAAACCTCTCAAAAAAAAAATTAATTATGACATTTGAAATATATTATCATTCCCCAAAAAAGAACAGAATTGTCTCAAAAATAACAGAATACCTTTCTCCCCCTTTTTAGTAGTGATAGAGAAATTTTATTGCTATACAAATTGGTTTCTCATCACCTTAAAAATAATACTGATTCTGGGCCAGCAGGTAGCATGGCGGTTAAGGCACTGAACTCCCACACAGCTGACTACGGTTTGAGTCCTACAACTGATGGCTTGCTTTTTCACGTTTTTTCTCTGTCTCTCTCTGATGAATTAAAAAAATAATGGAGTCGGCAGGTGGCATAGTGGTTAAGGTGCTGGACTCCCACATGGCTGACTGCAGTTTGAATCCCAGGCTCAGTGGCTTGCTTTCTCACACTCTCTCTTCCTCTCCCTCTGTCTCTCTCTCTGGTCAAGCTGAATAATAATAACAATAATAATAAATAAAATACATAATTCTTTGGGGAAAAAAATACTGATTTTGAAGATTATAACTACATGACTTCCACAGGCGAGTTACCCTATCTCAAATGAATATTGCTCATCTATAAAGTATCCCAATAGTGTGTGCATTGGATGAATAAGTGGTAGTTGCTAATACCAATTGCCTTTTCTACTTTACTACAACAAGCTAAGTCTGAGGAGATTAAAAGCATATGATAAGCAACTTTTTCAACAATACCTAAACAATTTAGTGTAATTTTGGAGAAAATGATTTATTTTACTTTATTCAAAGATTGGTTTCATATATAGAAATCAATTTCTCCTGTAGCTCTAAAGACCGTAGAAGTTTGGAATTGAAAGAAACCCCCAGAATTCCCTCATCTAGCCACTTTCCTTGCACTGACAGAAATCCAGGGGCCACACCAGCGGTTTTGTGCCCCAATCTATAATGGGCATTGTTTTAGACCCCCCCCTTTTTCTTTTCCCAATTGCTAGAGGGCTTGTACACTTGTCAGAGAGAGACCAGGAAAGGGAGAAAGTACTCCCCAGTAGGGCATGGTAACACCACAATCCCTTCTCCTCCATTTATCCATCCTGTTAGGATTTTGAGCATGCACGCACATGTGCCTGGTGTGTTCCTCAAGATCCCAGGGCTAGGATTCAAACCACAGTCAGCCATGTGTGATCTGGCTCCTTTAATCACTAGGCCATGGATCTGGCCTTATAATGAGCATTGTTTTTAAAAGGTAAGCATAAAAATGGTAAGGTACAAATTCATTTCCTGGTCCAGCTGAAGGTAGTGTAATCAAAACAGTAGTATTTTTATAGCAAATTAATCTTAGTATTTATTGTAGTATTAAAAAATGATAAAATCTATAGGTTTTATTTTCATGTATATAAGTTAAGGAAACATAATGTTCTGCTATACTATTATTTTGTAAGACTAGGGCTAAACTTGAAATGCAATTATAAGAACATTAAATATTAGAACTTTATATGTTTCAAGTTAATATATCCATCAATGTTAAGACATGGTTTGGTTGTGTTATCAGCCATATCACTGTGGGGAGTGGAGTCTGGAGACTTTCTGGGACATGCCCAAGGTTAGTGTGAGTCAGTGGCCATTTACACAGCTCTGGCTAAGCTACTTAACTTCCTCAGTTCTAGTCTCAGCTAGAACTGAAGAAAAAGTGACTCCACCTAAAAAACAAAGCACGGAGCCAGTAAAGTATCAAGTTAATACATGTAATGTTTTAGTATGAAGATTTTAAATTGTAAGGTACTGATAAGCTGAAAAGCAAATTAGTGGAAAAATAGTACACAGAATTACACAATATTTAAACAGAATTTTTGCTTGGTATTAAACAGAAATGTTGCATTAACTGTTGACTTACACTTAAAACCATGCGACCTCAGTCTTGTAAGATACATTTGCTTTTATAAGAGTTGAATTAACTTAAAAATTATAATTATCCAGAACTAATAAAGAATAAAATATTTTAATGATTTTGCTCCATTTTGTGAACATATGTTTTACTGCTTATTATTTTAAGGAATGAAACATATTAGTTCTATTTTAATGACTGGGCAACTACTTCATCAATCTAGATTAACCTACATACTTGTACTGGTCAACTTTTCCTTAAAATATGATTCCATTAGGTTACTGTTCTACTCAAAAGCTTTGAATGGCCTCCCGCTGCCCATAGGTCACAAATCTTAGAGCTGATGACAGACTTTCATAGTAATAGTCTACGATAAACCACACTTGCCAAAATTTCCAGTCTGTGAGGTGCCCTCCTACATGGATGGGTGTTTTGGCCATGGGACTTACTTTGGCCAATGGTGAATCAGCAAGCATGACTCCTAGAATGGCTTGACAAGTGCCAGGCATTGGGGTTTGTCCTCTTAAAGGACCAATGATATCATGCAAGGACCCAGTTTGACCTTCTTGAAGTAGAAAGACCAAGTGGAACGAGAGTGCTCCTAGCTCCCAGCCTGGCATAGGCCCAAGCTGACTGTAGCTGCAGGAGTGAGCCCAGGGGTCCAGAGAACTACTCCACCTTTAGAGGTAAAGTAAGAAACTGTGGTCTGAAGTTATCAAGTTTGAGGGCAGCAACAGAAGACAGATGCTCTATTCAAATGTACATCTGATGGGATAGTCTGATCCTATCCCACCTGTTCCCCACCTCCAGCTCTCACTGCCAGTATGGACCCCTAGTCTTGGTCTGGATTGTCTTCTTGGCCTGCAGCAGTGTGTGCCTGCTGAAACAGTTGCCAGTTTCTGCAGGGCCTTCTGCCTGCTCCAGTCCACACCAATCATCACTGAGCAAATCTCCGAGACACTGGTCTACACTGTGCATAGCCATTCATACGTTGCCTTGCCTTTTAACCTAACTGGTGATTGCACATCTGGCATCCTCAACTATACTCCAAGTGCTTACCAAAAACTTAACAAATCTGTCTAAATTTCTCAATGGGTTCAAAAGTAGAATCGTATAGCCTGCAGAAATTCTGTGAATACTTTAAGAAGTACAGAAAAATCCTCAGGAGGCATTTAAGTGATTAAAGCCCTTTAGGGAGAAGCCTTACTGGTAGGAGGTTAACCTACTGGCAGCACCCTGACTCACCTTGTAAAACTCTGCCTAAGAGAGGGAGCTGTCTATAGAAAGAGAAATAAAGAAAGGAAAACACCTGTAGTTTTTTCAGTGACTGCAGGTCATACTGATTTCCTTCTTGGGGACATCTAAAGCAATGACTTTGTGGTCTTGTGACTAGGCAATCAAGAGAGAGCAATGCAAGGCTCTTGCTTTCTGGAGGAAGGGGTGCTCACAGAAGTTACAGGCATTGCTCAGGGGAGGAAGCAAAACCCCAGGGCTCCTGCTGATTTTCTGACACTGAAAGCATCAGGCAAAAGTAGAGATGCTGAAGAAAATAGACAAGCAGTTTACATTGCCAGTGAGTACAACAGTGTTCCTAAAGTCTAAAGTCTAGTGGGACGTCTCTTTCCTGGGGCATGCTCATGCTGAAGGTGTGTGAGGCCACACCCTCACACACATTTTTCTTTTTAAAAAAATATTTATTTATTTAATTTTATTTATTTTTATTATCATTATTTTAATTCTTTTTAATTTTTTTTTACTTTTTGAGAGAGGTTTTTGCTATAGGGCGCATGCACTCGCCAGAAAGACAGAGACAGAGAGATGGAAAGCTAGAAATCACCCCAGGGTAGATGGCCATGCCGCAATCCCTTCTCCTCCATTCTCCTCTCAGGATCTTGGGCACGTACACACATGCACCCAGCGTGAGTTTTAAGCCACCGGGTCTAGGACTCGAACTGCGGTCGACTACATGGGAGTCTAGTGACATAGTCATTATGTCAACTGCTGGTCCCATTATTATGGGAGGGAGGGAGGGAGAGAGAGAGAGAGAGAGAGAGAGAGAGAGAAAGCAAGAAAGCAAGCCTTCAGGTTCAGGACTCAAACTATGGTTGGTCATGTGGGAATCCAGCATCTTAACCACCACGCCACCTGACAGCTGGTTTATTTTCAAAATATCAGTAGAGAACAATTAAAGATAGAATATGGCAAAAGAGAAATTACGAGTTAAATAAAAGACATAAAACTTGATCTGAAGTTTTCTTCAAGTCTAAAGCTGTTAGAAACTAAAATTTCTATGTAAGTTATTATTTGCTGGTCTTATGTGACCCAGCATAGAATCTGGGGTCTGAATATTTGGGGATAACACTTGCTATATACAGGGAGAACTGTCTTGACCATATTAGAATTTGGTGACTGCTAGGATTTTAAGTCTTTAGAGTGATTTCTGATGCATTATAAAAACATTCACCTTTCAGTAAAGAAACCCATGTACAGATGCATGTCACCTTCCTCTAGGACACCTCTTCAAACTAATAACAACTCTGGTTCACAAAGAGGCAAACACTCATTCATTTTAAATGAAGCACTTATTTTGAAATGAGAATCTAAGTCCAATCTTTAATTTAGATACTTTCCATTCAGGCTAAAAATAATATTTTTCATATTAATATCAAAAGTGCTGTCTAGGACCAGCAGATGGCATAATGGTTATGTCACTGGACTCACACATGGCTGACTGCAGTTCAAGTCCCAGACCTGGCAGCTTGAAAATCACAACAGATATGTATATGTGCTTGCTCCAAATCCTGAGAGGAGAATGGAGAAGGGACTGCTGTATGGCCATACCCCCGGGGGGGATTTCTTGCTTTCGGTCTCTGTCTCTCTGGCAAGTGCATGCACACTATAGCAAGAATCTCTCTCTTAACAAAAATAAAAAGAAAAAATTCTGTCTAAAGACAAAATATTCTTCTATATACATAAAGTAATAATTCTTTGTTGTAAGACAGTAAGATATAAATGTTTTAAGTATACATTTTACATATCTTATTAGTACCTAAAGAATTTGGTTTAAAAAGGAGAATACATGTTTATGGCAATGAAATAAAAGATTGAGTCATGTCAAAAACATGATTTGATAGTTAAAATACATTATAGTAGCCTTACTATTATCCAATTAATTCATTTAGAATACATTACTATCATTATGTACTGTCACTGCAAAGTTCTGTAGATAATTGATTGTAAATCATTTCTATCATTTGAAGATATTTAAAAAATTCAGTATTGGGACCAGCAGCCAAGGCACTAGCCACTCCAACATGGTTGACCATGGTTTAAACACTGGACCTGGTGGCTTGCTCTCTTTCCCTCTTCCTCTCTCTCTGTCTCTGACTCTCTGGTCAAATTAAAATAAGTGAATGAATAAATAAAATTAAATAATTAAAAAAATTAAGTATTAAGCATTTTAAAATAAGTAAAATATTAGAAAAGACATTTAAAAAGTATCATTCTTAAATCACTACAAAGTCATAAACACAGACAAATGCCAAATGACAGAAAGAAGACACGCAATTATTCAGAATATTAGTCTAAATTTGTGTGTGCTTTATATTTATCAATTCAGAAAAATAGAAAGACTTACCGGTAACAGCTTTTTCATAATTTTTCCCTAGGTTTATTAAATTTCGGAGCCCAGGATTAAATTGTTCCATAACATTCTGGTAAATAAACAAAACATACAAATTAATAAAGTAAACAGTAGACCAAAGAATGTAGATTTTGCTACTGTGTGGCCTAGGATACACTTGCGCTTAACAATTCGATTTACAAAGTAAGAAATGTTGATTCAAAAATCATGAAGCGTACTACTTCCTTACCTGATGGAAGGAGAGTACTCACATGTAGCACGGAGTATGTAACTCTGGCAGCTCTCCACTTGCCCAAAGGCTGCCTAGAACCTACTATAAATGGAGCAAGCAAGGAGACATTCATGTCTTGTCTTTGCCCCAAGGGACTATGGGTCCAGAGGCTAACACACCCTCTTGGGTTTAAGTAGATTGTTCACAGTTGTCACTCTAATGTTATGAAACACGTGTACATAATCAGCTCCCTGAGCTTAATTATAAGGGCAACGTTTCAGTTATTAACAGAACAGACATTTCTCAGAGATTTTCTTTTTACTCTGCCTAATTATTGGTGGAGAGCGTGAGTGGTTGTTGTTGATGGCCCTAGGACACAGGCCCACATGGAACCTGCTTTCTAGAAGGTCACTGGCATTTGTTTAAACCAATTAGTTTATGCACTAGGTACTCAGGCAGTAAATACCATGTCTGAGGTTCTGTTGTATACATAGCTAGGATGAGAAAATGCGGTTTTCCCATCACAGATTTCATGATGCAGTATCCATGGTTTTTGTTTCACTTTAAAAAGTGTCATACTCTACATACATACTCTTCAGAATAAAAAGTTCTTAATTATGAATTAGGAGCAGAGAAAAAACGTAATGACTTTTATTTTTATTAAACACTGATAAAGGCTTACAGTGAAAGCAAATAATGGCTCAACCTTCTCTCACCAGAGTCTTTTTTTAAAAAAAGAATTACTTTTATTTAACTTTGTTTATTTATTTATTTTAATTTGACCGGGGGAAGGGGTAGTGGGGGAGACAGAGAGAAAGTTGCCAGGTCTGGGACTCGAACCACAGTCGGCCATGAGGGAATCCAGTGCCCACGCCACCTGCTGGTTCCTCTTCCACCATGGTCTTTTTAAAAAACATATTATTTTAAAAGCAAGAGGTATGTGAGTTTGCCAGAGAAAAACAAAGAGAAGGAGACAGCACCCCTTAATGGGATGTGATCAAGTCGCAATCCCTCCTCCTCTATTTCTCCATCCTGTTGGGATCTGGGGACAGCACATGGGTCCAATGTGTCTTCCAAGCCTCTGGGGCTGGGCCTTGAACCACAGTCAGCTGCGTGGGATCTGGTTTCTCCAACTATTAGGCCATAGGCTGGCCCCAAAAGAACTTGCAAGTAAGCTGTTCTTGTATTTACTGCCATAGTTTTGAACATTCCTTATTTTTCAATTTGGGGCAGTAACTACTAATTTCCTACCATAGTAAGCGAGGACTTAGTTTCTCTAATCATCCACTTTCTCTTTCTCATAATTAAATGGTAATTTTCTAGCAAATCAATAATCAGTGTTAATTATGACTTTGTAAATATTGGTCACCAGCATGCAAGGGGTTTACTAAGAACTACATTTTCTTTCTTGGTAAAGCCTTTTTGTTTTTTTTTTCTGGGATTAATAATTGTCTCATTTTTACCCTTGCTTGGTTTTCTATGACTCTACCTTAAATTTTTCCACATGTTCAAGTAGATCTATGAGACCTATCAATGTTATTTTTCAGTGTACAAATTTCTTAGCTTATCTTCCTTTCCATTTTTCGCCCCAGAACTTTCTCTAAGAACTCTGTCCTCTTGCTTAGTCTGGCCTGACAGTCCTGGGGCTGCCTGAGGCTGTCCTTTCAGGTCCTTTTCTGGTTGCCTGTATTAGAGCTCTCGGTAGCTAGACCCACCCACACCTTCTTCTTCCTGTATTCCTTTCTGTTGAAGATCATGCTTCAGGAAAAACCCAAGAAATGGTGCATGAGAGAGAATTCTGAGCCCCCGCACTCATAACCTTAATTTTACCTTAACATTTATTTGGAATTTGGTGGGTCCAGTGTTAAAGATTAAAGCTGACCTTCCTTAGAATATTTAAGATGTTGGGACCAGCAGTTAGTGTAATGGCTATGTCACTGAACTCCCATGTAGTCAATTGCAGTTCAAGTCCTGGACCCGGTGGCTTAAACTCAGGCCAGGCGTGTGTGTGTGTGTGTGCGCGTGTGTGCCGAACCCCATGGGGGGGTGATTTCTTGCTTTCTATCTCTCTCTCTCTCTTTCTGGCGAGTGCCTGCAGCCTATAGCAAAAAAAACTCTCCAAAAAAAAAAAAAGATGTTTTTTAGATCCAGTCTTTAGCACTGGATGCTTCATCTACTGTCTTTAGCATTTGGTTTGGCTACTGAGAAGTCAACTGTTATTTCCTGTTTCTTTGTGACTTTTTTTTTTTTTTTTAGCTTATTTCTGGAAGCTTTCTCTTTATCTCTGTGTTCTAAACGGAATGGTCTGTCTCAATACGTGTATTTTTTCCTTTTATTTTACTGGACACTCAATGAATCCTATCTATATGGAAAACTGTTTTTTTTTTTTAGGCCTGAAAAATGTATTTCATTTTTTGTCTCTTCATTCTTCTTGGAACTCTGATGACGATTTTACACTATATGAATTTATTCCTTACTCATCTTTTTTTCCTCTGATTTTCCACTTTTTGTTCTATGAGCTCTTTCAAGTGTATTGATTGTTCATTTTTAAAAGTGCCTTCCTGTTCTGGTTTTATGGATGCAATATCTTTTCTTATCTGAATAAATTAACTGTAGGGGTTTTTTTGGTGCTTTATTCTAGTCCCTTGTGTTATTTCCTGATTACTTCTCGTTGTTCAGCATCTCCTCCATGTTAAAGGACTTCCTCAAACATCTGATGATTGTTGATGGTCAGTTCTTTAGAAGTAAAACCCTTCAGAGCTGGCTGGAAGTTGTGGGTGTGGGTACGGAGTGGCTGTTGACTAGTAGGTTTCATTCAGAGTGACTGTACAGCAAGTAGACAAACTGGCTACATGACAGCAGAAGTTTCTCCAGAGAAGTTTCTAATTTCCTATGACTGAGTGTGGGGAAAGGCAATCATCAGATGGTTGGCTCTTCCAGTCAGGAAGGAGTTCTCAGCCTCCATAATTCACTGAGCTGATTTTCCGGAATTCCTCTATTTTCAGGTCTGAGTTACTTCCTCCACCCTCAACTGGTATTTCCAAGGGCAGAGCTCTTCTGATTCAGCATATGCTGAGATACCTCTGGAATGCCAGAACGGTGCTTGGAGAACCCAGCCATTGCCCATATCAGATTCCTACAGCAGTCCCAGGTGCCCACTCCCATCCCACCTTCTGTGGGCCTGGTCCTCAGCCTTTGGAGTTATCTGGGTGAATAGATGGTTCTCCTCAGCACTCCTAACGTAGGTTCTTTCGGTTCTTTTAAATCAGTCTCTGTCCATTTTCATTATCCAAAATTCCTTGTTTTTTTTTTTTTTTTTTGTCAACTGAGGTCTTATTTATTTATTTTTTCTTTCTTCCTTTCTTTTTTTTTAGCTCTGCCCATCCACCAGATCTCTTTGCACCATGGATTTACAGGTTTTTCTTTTGATATTTTAAATTTCTTTGACATCGTTTTAGTGTACTCTCAGAAGGAAGAAAAGAAAAACACGTGCAGAGCCGATCTGGAAGTCTACTCATCTTGTATCAGTGGAGCCAGTCCCTGTAGGAGTCAATTCACAACCAGCTGTTGTGAAACCCCAAGCCAGCTGACTCCCCTGTTGTTCTCTCTGTAAAATGGCAAAGCCTCAGTCTCTGATTACTGGGTGCCTATAGCTATAACCGATATTGCTGTCATCTCTTCTCAATTCTTCTGTTTTGTTGACTTTAAAAAACATTTCTTATTTGGAAATAGCTTAAGATTCATAGAAGATGTAAAAATAATATTTAGTTCACAAGTATGCTCCCTCCAGCAATGTGTTCTAACCATAGTACACTACCAATTCAGACCTTATTTAGATTTTTACCAGTTTTCTTATCACTCATTTTTGGTGGTGCTGGCAGTGGTGGAGCTTCATTGTTTCAATGGAAAATTAAAAAAAAAAATGCTAGAGGGCATGTGCACTCGATAGTCATACAGAGAAAGTGTGAAAGCACCTCCCATGGGAGATGGTCTCACTGCAATCTCTAGTCCTCTCTATCTCCTTTCTGAATTTTGGGCATGCACACATATGCCCAACATGTTTTTCAAGCTACCAGGTCCAGGAATTAAACTCCAGTTTGCCATCTGGGATCTAGCCACCTTAACCACCATGCTACCAGCCAGCCTATTTCTATGACATTTTATCACATGTATAACTTTGTATAATCATCGCCACAATTATAATATAGAACCGTTCCATCGACACAGAGATCTCCTTTGCGCTACTCTTTATAGTCATTCCCCTTCCCCATACAATCCTAGCTTCTGGCAACCGCTGAGCTGATGTATAATTGTTGCGAGAATGTTCTGTAATTCTGTAAGTGGAGTCATACACTATGTGATCTTTTGAGATTAGTTTTTCTTTCCACCAATAATGCCCTTAAGATGTATCTAAGTTGTGAGGTATAGCAATAGTTTGATTTCTTTTTGCTAGTAGCATTTCATGGTATGGATACATCAATGCTTGTTTATCCACTCACCTATTAAAAAATACTTAAGATTCTTTCCAGGTTTTGACTATCTCAAATAGATCTGATATAATATAAACAATCACATTTATGTGTAAACATAAATTTCCATATCTCTAGTATAAATATCTAGGAATTCAACTGCTATGTCATATGGCAGGTGCATGTTTTCTTTTATAAGAAACTGCCAGACTTTCATCCCAGAGTGGCTGTACTGTTTTACAGTCCTATCAGCAATCTATAACATTTCAATAATTTTAAAAAAATCTAGAAATTTCATTAGAAAATGGTTACCTTTTAACTGAAAGATAACACTATTTTAAAGATATCTTAAAATTCTTACAGTATTCTTATCTAGTCTAGATAGTAAGA